TTTCATTTATTTTGTCATTTTGTTCTTGTATATTCTTCCAAAATTCTTGTAAGGTTTTTTCTGTGTTTTCTTTGGTCTGTCTCTCAATCCTTTGAAGACACCTAAATATAATTCTTTTGAATTCTTTATCACAGAGTTCCAATGCTGCTGCTTCCTCAGGGATATGTTCTGGGTCTGTATCCTGCTCCCTTGTTTCTACCACTTTATCCTGCTTCTTTATGTGGACTGTGGTGGTCTGTTGTCTCCGAGGCATCGTGGCATTTTTGTATTTAGATCTGTGTTAACTGTTTGTGAAGAACAGCCAAGGGTGATTCAGGCTCTTTTTGGTGGTTTTTTATCGTTGGCCCATTGGTGGAGAAGGAGATAGTGGCTCTCGTTCAGTAAGTGAAGTTGCAGGAGGTGTGGGTGTAGTTGTGTTTTATGGGGACTGTTGCTTTATCCTACTCAGTTAGACAAAAATTACAATTGAATAACGATCGAAAAACTAAAAGCACCTGGACAAAAAACACACCATGCAATCACCCAGGAACAGTAACCAAAGAAAGAAAAAAGGGAAAAAGAAAAAAAAACAAACAAACAAGAAAACCTGCAATATCTGGGGATAGGGCACTAAGAGAAAAAAGGTAGAGAAAGAAAATAATGAAGAAAAAAATGGGAAAAAGGAAAATAAGGAATGGGGTTAACTACAAGAAAAAAGGGGGAAAAAAAGAAAAATTAATTAATTAATTAATTAAAAAATTTCAACCAGGAACAGGGAAAAGAAAAAAAATTGAAAACTAGGACCTGGGAGGGGAAGAATAAGAATAATAGTAAAAAGGCCAAATGTATTAATGATAATAGTTGTTTTAAAACAAACAAATATAAGCAAACTAATCATCAGAAAAAGAAAGCGAAAAAGAAAAAATAAAATAAAAATAAATTGGTGGAGGACAGGGCAGGGCACCCAGGCTCCGTCTGAGTACACAGACTGTGATGGAGTTCCTGTGGGCCCAGAAGGTGGGTTGGAGTTGGGGATGGCCGCACCTCTGTTCACCAAGCAGGTGTGGGGTATAAGAATAACAAGAGGAATGTCGCACCTTTTCCGTCTTGCAAGTCTGGAGTGTCCTTGGGGTGCTGGAAAGCAGAACCTCTTCTTAAGCCCCTGGAATCTCGGAGAGCACTGTCTCTTGAAATATCCCAAATGGTCAAGCCACTTGTAACATTCAAAATGGCGGCGCCTTCTGGACCAGCAAAAGTCCACAGCTCAGCCCGCCTTTCTCTTCACCTTCTCCATTTATTCCTCAGCCACCAGAGCAGTCCTCTGTGTAGTCCCTGGCTAGCAGGGCTGATTTTTAGGATAATTCTTAGGTCCTACCACCACTCAGGAATGTCTAAGTTGTCTGTGCCTTGCTGTCAGGATCGCTGGCAGACCACAGCTCCGTCTGTCTCGTTTTTTGGTATTTTCATGCAAATTCTTCTGCTAGTTGGGGTTTAGTCCACTTCTATATCCTTCCCTTCAAGGCTCAGGGGTCCAGGATTATCTTCTGTGTCTGTGTTAATTGGTTTCCCTTTTCTTTGTTGAAGAGGGTCTGTGCAGTCTTTCTGCCTAGTCCGCCATCTTACCGGAACTCTCGAGATGTTTTTTTACTCTTTAGGATGTGCTGTCTTTGTCCCCTTTGGAAAACTCTGAGCACTGCCAGCCCTGCTTATGCAAATCTGCAGTGGCAGACCCTGTGTGTATATTCCTTTATTTGGATAGCTTTCACTGCTCTAAGTAGACTTTCTTCATATATTTTAATTCTTGTCTGTATATGTTACCTAGCTTGTTGATAATGAAGTTTTACATTTCTGTTGTTATTGTTTTCTGATACAAGATGACAGAGATCTCTTTATGCCACGTTTTTTATCAGATTTCATACCACTTTTCTTATCAGAAGTTGTGTTTTAAAGTGTTAGGAGTATTAAAAAGATATATATATACAAATGATGTATTTAATTCTGATAATATTAAATATTTTTAACCATTAACTGTATTTTACAGCAATTTGAAAAAAGTTCAGATTCAGAGAAAAACAACATAACACATTAACTAGGCAAGTTTTAAGAGACCTCTAAAATAATTTTTACATTGGTGACTACTGAAATGCATTCAGATACCTTGAATTTTTCACTTAAAGCCTTTTTCCTTTTTCCTCAAGTCATATTCTACTTGAGATTTAGTTAGTTAACTTTAAATTCAAAATTATATTTAATTTCCTTTGGTCTTTCTTTAGGCGTTTCATCAAACGTGTATATGTATCTTTACCAAATGAGGAGGTATGTATCTTTGTTTAAATTTTTTTTTTTAATCAAAAATAAGAACTACCCTCTTGACAATTAAATCTTCCAATCTATGGTTTAGCACTTTAGAAAACCATTTGATGGTTTCTTAAAAAGATTTTAAAAATAAATGTAACATTAGACATAGCAGTTTAACTCCTAAGAATCTACTCAAGAGAAATGAAAACATAATTCTATAAGAATACTTGTATGAAACATATGTCCTCAAGAAGACATGTAAAAAGCATTATAATAATAGCCCCAAACTGGAAACAAAATCTAAAATTTTCATCAGCAGTTAAATGGATAAACAAAAGTGGTATACTCATTTCGTAGAATACTATTTGGTAATAAACAAGGAATGAGCTTCTTATACATACTATAACATAGATGTATCTCAAAAGTAAAAGAAGGCAGATACAAAAGATTACATATATGATTACATTTATACACACTATCTAGAAAAGGAAAAATTATATATACACAAAGTAGAGTAATGTTTCCTAGGAATAAGTTATAGAAAGGCAATTAACTGCAAGCAGGAATGAGTGAACTTTTTGGGTAATGGAATTATTTCAAAATTGGATGTTGATAGTTGCACTAGTTCTATAAATTTATTAAAAGTCAGTGAATTACACACTTAACAATATGTGTGAACTTCATGGCATATGAATTCATACGTCTATGAAACTTTTTTACAAAGTGTTTTCAGGCTTGTATTCCCAGCATCCTTGATGGTAATTCTAGCCACTTCCATAGGGTTTTACTTAGTTTATCTTGCTTAATTCTCTCAGGAACTTTCAGTACATAGTTGTCTTGTTTTGTTTTGTTTTTTAAGTCCACTTAACAAACAGGAGCTGAGGCTCAAAAAGGTAGTGTGATATATATAAGATTATTCAGCTAGTAAGTGACAGTGAGGATTTGAACCCAATGCCAAAGTCCATTAAATTTTATCAACTCCAATAAATAAGTTTCATGATTGTGCAAAATGAATATAACATTCAAATTACTATTTATGCCTATACTTTTACTTTAATATAAATATCTATCATTAGCAGCACTAATAGCCTAGGAAGAAGGGAAAAAAAATAAAAACACTTTACTATGGTTAGCTATCCTTCACTTTTCTTGTCAGCTTTTCAATTTTTCAAGCCAGTTTGTGTTATTAAACAAGACTCATGAAATCTTTAGTAATAGTCATTCTTATTTTCTGACCCTGGGCACATTGAATTGGAAATTCTAAAAAGGCAAAAGCTATGTCATTTATCTTTGAATTCCCCATTAACCCCAACACGATTGTCCTTTTTCCAGGCACCTTCAGCTTTGAGCTGTTTAAATGCTCATCATTGATACTTGGTAAAAAGCTATGATGGCTTTTGAGAGAAAGATTATTCTTTATGGATATATTATTAAGCTCAGTCTTAGGACTGATAATTCTTTTATATTTCTTTTCAGACAAGGCTACTTTTACTTAAAAATCTATTATGTAAACAAGGAAGCCCATTGACCCAAAAAGAACTAGCACAACTCGCTAGGTGAGTAATTTGATTTGGTTTATCTTAAATTGTCCTTTTTTTTTTTTTTTAAGTAAAGAATTGTTTTTCTTTTTTTGTTTGTTTTTAAGTAAGCTGAAGTAAAAGTAATTTATTAGAAAACATTTTATCTTATCTTCTAGCTCCTTTATTTTCTTTTTCACTTCTTATTCCCATATACAAGGTGTTATGAATTGAATTGTGTCCATGAAAAATATGTCAACTTCGCTAGGCCATGATTCTCCATGGTTTGGCCATTATATCATGATATACTTTGGCAGTTATGTAATGATGTAATCATCCTCATAATGTGGTGTGATATGACCAGCCAGTCAGTTTTAAAGGAATTTTGCTGGGATGCAACTGCTTACTCTGGTCACAGTCCTGAGCCAATTTAACAGGAATTTCCTTGGGATGTGGCCTGCATCACCTTTTATCTTAAAAGAAATAAGAGGAAAGAGAAACAATCAGAGATGTACCACCAAGAAGAACCAGGAATGGAGCATGTTCTTTGGACCAGGGGTCTTTGCACTGAGAACCTCCTAGAACCAAGGGAAGATTGATCCCAAGACACATGGAGATCTCCAAGGAATGCTGGGCATGCAGGTTTTGAAAAGAGATAAGAACCTTCCCCCCAGAGCCGACAGAGAGAGAGAAAGCCTTCCTCTAGAGCTGGTGCCCTGAATTTGGACTTCTAGCCTCCTAAACTGTGAGAGAATAAATGTCTGTTAAAGCCATCCACTTGTGATATATCTGATAAAGCAGTATTAGAAAACTAAGACAGAATTTGGTACCAGGATTGAGGGTCTTGCTCTAACAAATACCTAAAATGTGGAAGCAGTTGTGGGATTGGGTAATGGATAGAGGCTGGAAGAGTTTTAAGGTGCCTAATAGTAAAAGCCTAAATTGCCTTGAAGAGATTGTTGGTACAATTTTGGATATTAAAAGCAATTCTAATGAGGTCTCAGAGGGAAGTGAGGAGAGCTGTAACACTATAGATGGCACAGACAGCGAAAAGCAGCAGCAGAGGTATAGTGGCAGCAGTACCAAGAGACCAGCACTAGGTAGCATGAGTGCTGACCCACAGAGCAAGAGAATTGAGCATCTTTGGGCTGAGGCTTACTGGCAGAGTGGGATGCCTCTGAGCCCCAAGGGGCCAAGAAGCCGAGGAAGCAGAAGCTACAGAGCATGGGAATCAGAGCTACCTCAGTCTCAAATGGTAAGGCCACAATCTCTGTGGTCTTAAAGGCTGCAGCCACAGCCTCCTAGGTTTCAAAGAGTCAAATCTTAATCAGCCCAGTTCTGGAGTATGGGGCTACTGTTCATGAGTGCCAGAGGAATGGGGCTGAATCTACTGCCCAAAGCTGAGGGGGTAGAGCTACCATGCCCAAGGAACTGAAGAATAAGGCCTGCCAGGGCTGAGGGGGTAGGGCTACCACTCAGCTGGACTAGGAGAACGGGGCTGCCCAAAGCTGAAGGACCAGAGTTGCCATCCCAGTAGGCCTGGAAGGCAGAGCTGAAGGGCAGGGCCATTGCCTAGATGGTCTCCGAGAACAGAGGGATTATTTTCAAGCCTTGTGAACTAATGTAAGTTGTTCTACTAGGTTTTTTACTTGGTGGCTGTTATCTCTCCTTTCTCTCCAATTTCTCCCATTTATAATGGAAATGTCTACCTTGTGCCTTTTCCACCATTGTACTTTGGAAGCAGATAATTTTTATTGTAGATTTCACAGATAATGAGAAATTTTGCCCCAGGATGGAATTTGGACTTGGAGTTGATTTAAGACTTTTGGGATGATCTGGTAGCACTTGACTGCTAACCAGAAGGCTGGCGGTTCAAACCTACCAGCCACTCCTCGGAAGGAAGGTTGGGCAATCCTACTTCCATAGTGATACTGCCTC